GCCTTGTTGGCACACTTGCTACAAGATGTGAGATTTTTGCGTATGTAGCAAGTCTGTCAACAAGTTGTGTTTGCACTGCTTGACCCAAGTTGTCAGCAAGTATGGAACAACTTGTTACAGATTGCAGAGTTTTTCCAACAAGTCTGATACAATCATGATATAACAATATTGTTACAACCTTGTGTCATCAACCTTGTAACATTCTAATGTTATATATATCATGACTGTATCAGACATGTTAGAACAACCTAGCTTGTAGCAAGTCTGATAATGCCATCAAGCTTGTTACAAGTTGTTAACAGCTTGTTCCAAACTTGTTACAACAACTGGGAACAAGCAGTGCGAACACAAATTGTTGACAGCTTGTGAACAGATCATTTGTGACAACTTGTTTGCAGACTTGTAACAACTTGTGTGTTTTTATGTGTATAGTACACACATATTGCTTGTTCCCAGTTTGGAACAAGCTGTTAACAACTTGTAGCAAGCTTGATGGCATTATCAGACTTGTTACAAGGTTGTTCTGACAAGTCTGATACAGTCACAATATAACAAGAATGTTACAAGGTTGACCACACAAGGTTGTAACAATATTGTTATATCATGACTGTATCGGACTTGTTGGATCAACCTTTCAACAAGTTGATAATATCAACAAGGTTGTTACAAGTTGTCAACAAGTTGTTCCATACTTGTTGACAACTTCTGATACAGTCACAATATAACAAGAATGTTACAAGGTTGACCACACAAGGTTGTAACAATATTGTTATATCGATCATGATCACTGTATCGGACTTGTTGGAACAACCTTGCAACAAGTCTGCTAATATCAACAAGGTTGTTACAAGTTGTTAACAAGTTGTTCCATACTTGTTGACAACTTGGGACGAGCAGTGCGAACACAACTTGTTGACGGCTTGTTGGCGGCAGACTTGCTACAAGATGTGAGAATATTAAGTGTGTACCAACTGATGTATTTACGGTTATAGTACATAGTATACTTACCATATGGTACAGCTGTGAAGATCTTGCCAAGAACACTGGCACTTGGTAAACGTTGACTAAAGCCCCCGGCGTGAATCATCAATATTTTACACTGGCTCAAAAATTCAGCCCCGAGACCTTTCTCCAGTTCTTCTATAGCATGCAGTGTTGCACCGCCATTTCCAATCTTTGGTCCAGCCGGGTCGCTTACAACTTTAAAAATCACACCTTTCGGCAGCTCGCCACGAGAGAGTTTTGCTTCGATTTGAAGTTCGTACGCAAAAAGTTGTTTTTTATCGACCGCAGTCACTACAACCACATCCCAGAAAGGAATCGCCGATTCTTTGACATCTTTCCCGCGTAAGGAATCAAAAAGTTTCAGTTTTCGCAAAGTAGATTCGTGAATTTCTTTGCTAACTTTGTCAGAGTGTCCTAAAATTTCTGCTGCCATGTTGGCAATTTGGAATAATTAATTAGCTTCCCGTTAGAAGTACGGGGGGTGGGTAGCATATTTTTGAGTAAAAATATGGAGGGGGGGAAGGAAACCTTCTTGTAATTCCCACTTTTGTATTGTATTATAAAAATTTGGAAGAGAAATTGAATTTAAACCGGATTTCTTCCCGTTATCTTGTTCAGTTTACCATGAAAATGAAACGTTAAGAATACAAAACATTTCAACATTTTAACGATTTGGAATAATTAATTCGGCTTCCAGGCAAAATACGGGGGATTGTTATATTTTTGAGTAAAAATAGAAGGGGGGAGAAAACTTTTTTGTGTGGCAATTCCACTTTTAATAATGGAAATTTTAAAGATTCCATTTTTATATTGTATTAAAATTTAGAAGAGAAATTGAATTTAATTCTAAATTTTATCCGTTATTTCGTTCGGTTTACTATAAAACGTTATAAATACAAAATATTTCAGCATTTTAGCATATATCGGCTCAAATTCAGCTTTATTTTTTGGCCTGTATGTTTCCACTTTTCATAAATTTCCTATGTTTTCCTGCTGTAAATTGTTTTCCAATATGGCGGACACAGATTCGGTTTTCGAATTCTTGCACATGCAGATTGTAGAGTATATACACGACGTTCATGGCAAAGAAAGCGAGGTACAGAATTGAGCGAGGATTTATTCATGGCTAGTTGAACGAATTATTGCCATATTGCATTTTTCTTTTTTTTTTTTTTTTTAAATTAGTGATCACTGACTTTCGCTGTCACTTTTGCAGTTTTGCTTTGACTTTGTTTACGTTTTGCTTGTAGACAAGTTGTATGTTTGTTAGCTCCCAAAAGAGCTTCAGTTTTTGTGATGTAATCTTATAATCTCCTGAGAATAGATGTATTGTATAACATGAATTTGTCCGCCAGCAAAATGTAAACAAACCAAGCTTGGCAAGCTACTAAGCTAGTGTTAAAGCTAGGAAGCTTAGAGGCTATATCAGAACCTGTGACAACATACTAGATGAACTCGAAAGACTTGATTGCACTTCCTTGGTTGAAACCGAATATTGAAATAGATGAATAATCCAAGTGATGATATATAACTCTTAATGGTTGCGAAAAATCGAAAAATGTAACACTACGTGACTAGGTCCTCTGGTAGAAATCGAGCCTGTGGCCGTGCAATTCCTGTGCAGCGCTCTAACCAACTGAGCTAATACACGCTTCCAGAAAGAATGTCACCTTGGCTATAGAGCCTTGTTTTTAAAATTCAGACGTTCGGCGTAAACTAACTAATGTCACATATCCAAAAACAAGACCCATTTAAATAGCCAAAGTGGACTACTTTCTGTAAGGGTGCATTCTGGTAAACGCTTGCCAACTGGCCTGTATTATTTTACTTTGTCCACCACAAGACAATTTTACTTGCCAATGGAAGAGTGCTCTCATATAATGGGTTTACAGTAAGCAATAAAAATAATGGCCCCAGCCCTCTGTTAGAGTTCAACTGTAAATTTCAAATAGAACTGTTCACAATGTTCTACCCAAAACAATACATAAGCCATGAATCTGGTAAATGTCAATAGTTCAACTGCTAAACACATTTCTAACTCCCTCACCCCGCCCCACTTTTATGTACATATTGAATATTGACATAAATATTTTGAATACAGAACAATGCTACAACTAAATTGGAAGAAATGGGCTTTACCATTGGACAAAGACTAGCAGAGAGGTAGGATTATAATAACCAGGGCAGTAATTGGTGTTATTGCTAAATGTTTATCATTTGTTTTGTTTATTAATTGTCTTCCAGATTCACAAAGGAAACAGCAAGATTTAAAGATGATTTAGACGTGATGAAATATATTTGTAAAGAATTTTGGACTGCTTTATACAAGAAACAGATTGATAACTTAAGAACAAACCATCAGGTGCTATATATAATCGAAGCATGGGCAGATTTTTTGGGGGCGTATCCCCCTCGAGGAAATATAAGCCCCTCCCTCATCTTTCTTAGAAAAGGTCAGTACCATTCCATGCATGTCCAATGCCTACCTCCTACCAAATCTGGAATGGAATATGATTTATAATGATATAATTGTTAGTGTAAGGGCCCTGTAACTAATTGCAGCCCCGTCATCAGATGAGCCGGAATGTTTCGCTTTGACAAGGGAATAAGGGATAATCTAGAAATGTGTAGGGGATATTTACTGGATATGTATGTAAATTTGTACATATACAGTAATATAAATATTTTATTTTAGGGTGTATTTGTACTACAAGACAACAGATTTAGATTACTCACACAGATCTCAGATACTGAAGAGTTTATTGTTCCTGCTGCAAAGGTTCTCTTTTTTTACCTATGAAATATAGTTGCACTCAACTAGGAATATTATAAAATTAAAACACTACAAAATAGTGCTGATTTAGAATGAAATTTTTAGGTAATAGATAATGAATTACGATTGCTAATCTAAACAAATCTTAATGTAAAAAAACATTGTGAAACTCGTTAAGTAATAATTCATGAAGAAAACACAAAAGAAATCATGAGCGTGAAGGAGTTTGTATATCTGATACAGAATCATGTTGATTTACATAAACTTTAAGTTCAGTTTTCTCACCAAATATCGTTCATTTATTTTAAATTGTTGAAGAATATGAATGTTCTCATGAAGACGTTTCACAAGCCATTTACAACACTCGCGTCCGTATTGTGTTGGATATATACAAACTCTCGCCTTTTGACTCGAATTTGTATATTCTCGAGTTTGTATATCCAACACAACACGTCCGCTCATGTTGTGAATAGTAGTAAAAGAAAACAAGCAAAATCCGCGTCATTTGAAGTCCCTGAATTTACTGAGAAACGTCTTTGAAAGTCCTTGAATTCCGTCTTCACTAGAGGGTGGAAACCCTGCATTGATGCGCATTTTGCTTGTTCACAGGTTTTCAACAATGGTTTTTACTACATCACCAATGATTTTTACCATATGTGGAAATTGGGTTGCAAGCTGCATGACGTGAACATGGTTTTAAAAAAAGCTCTTTATTTTTCTACAGTATCTATCGTTGCCATGTGGGTTAATCCGCGGTGCGTTAGCTAACTTAGGAATACCATCAATTGTTGGTGCAGAAATAACGACAATGCCAATGTGTAAGTATATTCACCTATTATTTCACTCAGCTAGCCCTGGTTGACTTGTGTAACACTGTACTGTAACAGAACTTTCGACTGGACATGAAAATTGGTTGACAAATGTCCGGAATAAAATCCACTTGCCATCAGGTCTAGTTTTGTCCTAACATATTAGCAAAATTGGAAGCAAGTCATTGCAGTAAGGATTGCTTAATCAACATTCGAATCCTATGTTTTTCTTAACAAAGTCATTTGAAGACTTAATCATGAAGTGATGATTTTAGCTTTTTTGCTCAAAAGAATCAAATGAACAGAATGCATAACATACTGCAAACAAGCAAACAGTTTTGTGTAGCAACTAATTTCTGGCAAAACAATTTGCCCGATCGGGCATCCCAGGCAAAGGGAACTTCTACTTGCCCATAATGATTTTTACTTGTTCTGGGCAAAGTTAAACCGATCTTTTTATGCTAGCCCTGAACAAAATTTTTATTTTCAAGTTATACTGAATAACATATTATTATCTTGTTTTCCATATAGGCAAATTCACAATCAACATCCAGAAACATTAAAGCATTAGGGACCAGTCATTATTTATGGCGGGGGGTGGCACCGAAGAGAAATGTTTTTCGTGGCAAAAATTTTGCTGACCCAACCATCAAAAAGTAAAAAAATTGGTTACCCAACCTCAAATATCAATTACAAAATAATTACCCACCCCTGGCCAAAAACGTTACAAAAAGA